GCAAGGAAATCAGGATCTTGGTTCAGAACGATGCCCAGCTACAGGCTTTATGGGTTGGTTTGTTTTTAAGCCCCATAACACCAGCCTGATGTTATTAATTAAATAATTTACATACTCAAAAGCTAAGCCCTTTTTGAGTAATACTTGTTGTAATATTACATGCTAAGCCCTTCATTGCAGTCACCATGTACTGCTGACATCGTAGTGAAAATAGCTGTGTCTGGGGCCTGTACTGATTGTTCAGGGTTATAGAACTGGTTGTCTGTCCTCCGAGATCTGCTCCCTCTTATGAGGATTGAAAGCAACTTTTCTGGTGTCTGTAATAATCTTTAGGAATGTGGGTGCCTGGTATTTCTGCCATTCTGAAAAAAAAAATATGGGCAAAGATGCAAGGAGACTATTGAGTCATTGTACTGCAGTGAAAGGACTCCAAGGGAGAACTGGACTCTGGAGGTTTTATTTAATTTTCCAACATAAATGCTGATGCACGTTGTTCAGCTAATTCTAACATCTCTATATCCTATTTTGCAGAAAACAGAAGGGAGAAGAAAACATTTAATTGTCAGTCTGAACTTTTTTGTGTTTTATATTAAACTGAATTTGGAAACTCTCTCGGTAATGTAGTCATGTCAGTGCACTGATCCTTTATTGTTATAAGCCAAATAGCTTATTCTGGTTGGGCTGGGAAAGAATCTTCCCATGAAGAGAGACAGCAAAAAGTAATACATGACTAATCAAATCTTTAAAATGGCATTTATTAATAAATAGCCTTTTGGGAAAGGGAATTGGTATAAAGCACACTTTAGGAGTGAAAAGCATTGTCATGAGAAATTTCCCTGCAATTAAAAACCTGATTAAGACCGCTGGCAATGTTCTAGTGGTCAAAGCTCTCTTCTTGCTTTTTGAAATAAGCAGGAAAGCCTCTGTTCCCAGTTTTCACAAATAACTTGCAGTCATTGATTAGCCCAATGTGATGGGTGGTGCTGTCCTTGTGATTATTAGGTGGGATCTCCTTAAGTGGATATACATAGGTTGGTGAAAGGAAGTGATTTTTTTTTTCTCTCTGCCAGAAGATTGAGCATCCTATTCCAGAAAAGATCACTGGTGTCCCAGGCTGCTAGAAGTCTCTGTCCTCCCAGAAGAAAGCAATCCCTTAAATGAATACAAGCTAGATATTTGGAATATGCTTTTATCAAAAGCTCTAGACTAATAATGCTGTGCAGCCCACAGGAGGGCTTTCTGTGTAGATTAGCAGACTGCTGTTCAACATCACCATGATCATAACTTCCCTGATCCAGGAACACACAGAATATACCTAGGTGACACAAAAATTCCCAACTCCTGGCTGTGTATTGGTCTTAAAATACCTGTAATTATGGTATGGTATGTATGCTTTTAACAAAATGGACTGGATTTGTAACAAATTTGAGACTGTTGGAGGTGGGATGCAGTTTGGGAAGCATGGTAAGAGTCAAAACAGAATCACTTTGTTACCTCTCTTTGGGCAGGCCTCTTTATGGGTTTGAATATTTCAAGCCTCCTTTTGAAAAATGGGTTTTGAGCAGAGATTTGATTTAGGGATCCCTGGATCCTGTTGTGCATCTTTGTTTGTTGAGTAAAGAGGAGCATTTAAATCTATCTTTGCCTTTCTAATCCTGTTAGAGGGGGAAGTGGCAATACAAAGCCCCTCTGGTGTATGTTAGTGACTTGGCCACCAACACAGAACCAGCTGTTCTTCTTTAAAATAGTTTTACTTTAGCATTTTGTTGTCTTTTCTCAAGATGTATTGCCTCTTGCAAGGAGGCAGTATGTGCTAAGAACAGTTGATGCGAAGCCTGTAGCAGAATAAGCCATCCAATTACTTCATGTCATGAGTTTAACACTGCCACCTCCATCAATCTCGGCAGATTTGTTTTGTCTTACGTCTATTGTGCTTAGTGGAGTGCGCGTTTCAAGTCCCATGTCTTAGTTGGATGTGTTTATTGCTGCAGCTACCAAGTTTCCCATATGTGCTGCTTTTATCAATGTGAATCATAAAGGAAGTAGGAAGTGGTCTCGGGGTGCAGCGTTTGGGCCACATGTTGCTAGTGATGTGTAAGGACAACACCAGGGTGTCTGGTACTATTAGTTCAGTCCCACTTCTAGAGATCTCCTGTTTCTTATAAGTTACTCTGCCCTTAGTTAAATTACTTGGGTGATTTATTCTCAAATCCTCTAATCATAACAGGTAACAGACATCAAGTGATTTTATGTTCTCTTCTTGTGGTTATCATGTAACTGTGTTCTTCCTTTCTCTTTGGATCTCCATGGCTAGTTGTTCTTTGGCTTGGGTTTTTGTTCATACAGTCTTTCTGAAGCTTTTTTTACTTCAAGCTTGCTGTGTACTGGGGTTTCGACTTGTGTGTAGCTAAGTAAATGCAGCTACGTGAGTTACGGATGTCCAGAGATGATGTGTGTCATAAGGTTGTTTACACTGCAGCTGCCTTAGGCTTCAGTCTTTCTGACTTGTCTTAAGCTGATTGGATGCACTCACTCATGTTTAATAGGTAGCGTTAAATTCTCTCCGTATGTCACGAGAACAGGTAAATGTTAAATGCCTTCTTGGCTTCTTCACCTGGACTGTTGGCAGTTGTTTGGTTTCAGGGAAGGGGAACATGAGATCGGCTCACATGACCCATTTCAAAACAACAAAGATGAGCCCTGGAGGCAGGTATAGTCTCTAATGTTTGCTGCTTTTTTCAGCCTTTCCACAGCAGTGGTTTTTTCTTTTCCTACAGATGCCCAGCACTTGTGCTCTTTCATTTCCTTCTAGACCAAAGTTGCCTGTTCTGTGTCTTGACAAGGCAGACTTACTTTACAAACCACTTTTGGTTTTGTACTATTTCCAGAACAACTTCATCCTCAGTATTCCTCAGCAAGTTTGCTTAAACACACAGTTAAATCCAGGAGGGAAGAAAGCTGTAAACCAAGATGTGTGTCTCATTTAGTGACAAAGATCACAAATTTTCTTCTGACTCATTCATCCAACTGTTGACATGGCTTAAAAAAGCCTGAAGTGGCAGCCCTGAGTCAGAGTACAGCTGCACTTAAAATGCATTTGATTGACTTGAATCTTGACCCTTAGACTCTGGATGCATGCAAGTACAACTAGTGTAGTTTGTTCCAATAGTAACTGTTTAATTAACTATTAAGCATGTTTGCTGGATTTTTTTTTTTCTTGTGATAATCTTCAGTTACACAGTAAGCAAGGCTTTTCATTTGCATAGGATTTGGAACAGCCTTTAGTATTTACTGATTACTGTGGCAAGAATAAACTTTCAGGAATGGCTTTAGTCTCCTTTCTCTACACTCCTATATATACTGACAGCATGCAATGCTACCAGAACTTTAAAAAAAGATTCTGCCCAGAAAGAAACCCATCAGCTGTATTGTCTAACCTGAAGTCAGTGTAAATACTGAATTATGAAAGAAAAGGTTTGTGTGCCTTTTCTGTCCATTTTTATAATATAGTTCAATGCTGTCTGGAAGACACCTATAGACATGTGGGTTCCCCCACCCTTTTTCATGCTTGAAGTATTCTAATATTGCATAAACTGTGTGAATCAATGTGCCTTACAACACGTCGAACTTTGTGTGGGATACTGGGGTTTTGTTAAAAGGCTCCTCCTCCTAGTTCTAATGCAGGGATCTCTGCGGAGTCTGGCAATTCTGCGTGAAGGCTCGTGGCATAGGCATCTACTTTCACAAGTGTCCACCTGCCCAAACTGCTCCTGTCGCCTGAAGGTAGAAACCTGCTGGATAATCTTGTAGTTAGTTTTAGATTAAATTTACATTTGATTCTTACTAGATTGTGCTTACTCAAACAGTAGCATACACTGACTCCAAATGTGTCCTGGTGATCTGGCAAAGCTGAACCTGTGCAAGAAATGGGCCAGCCGGGTGCTAGCTTGCATTGAGTGACAATGCAAATCCTAGTGGAAGTCTCCATTAAGTAATAACCAGTGCTGCTTAGGAAACTGGGTGACAGTTAAGTGCTTGTCACAATCTAGAGGCAGTAAGTTTTCCTGTGCACCTCACAGTCCTATAGAGCACACTAGTCTAGACCCTCCTTGGTCATTTGGTATTTGTGCCTTTATAATTATTGTAATTGTAGAGCAAGCTAACCAGGGAGTTTCCAGGATGAAGGGGTATGTGGGCCCAGATACATCTTGCATTCCCAAGAGCTAAGGCTCAGCATCTGTTGCGTGATGATATAATTTCCTTTTAACTACCACACTGCATTGTATATATAAATGCCTATTTTCTTTCTGCAGAGGATGCTTTTTTTTAATGGAAGTAGAAACTGTGTATACATGCAGAGAGGGTGCAATTCATGCAATGGCTATGCTGATCCAACAGCTGCTGCTGCTCCACAAGTACACGTGCTTTGCACTGTTGCTTTTCTGAGCTGTTAGAGGGAACTAGCTTGGCAGAAAGCTTATTAAAGTTGTTTAATTTGTACAGAATTAGTCTTCTGTCAGCCTGATTCCCTGAATCAGTTTGTTACAGGGTGTTGAGTGCCTGAGCGTGTGGGTGGGAGTAGGATTGCCCTTTCAGCTCCTGGCTATCTGATAGTTGAGCTGTAACATGAAACCCTGAGATAGACAAACTAAAACCAAGGTCAGCCTTCCTTCATCTAGTAAGAGCTCCATCAAAACACAGTTCTTATTGCATAGAAAGGGGCTGCTGGAGTCTGCTTTTCTCCCAGTCCTTGGAGTCCAAAATGCTCTTCGGGTGGAGCATGACAACAGGTTTTGCCACTGCTCCCAAGTGTTCACAAACTGGAGTGGAGAAGAATTTCATTAAATCCAAGTCCCAAGTATGTGTTTCTCTAGATGTTGATGACCCTGTGTGCATGGGAACTGCTGACCTCAGAGGCTGTGGAGTGCACGGATCTGTTATGCCTTGAGTATCACCTTGCCTTCCTTCCCTGCTAACGATGCTGTCTGCCCATGCAGTTCCTGAGGGTGACGAAGCAGTACCTCCCTCACGTGGCCCGCCTGTGCCTGATCAGCACCTTCCTGGAGGATGGCATCCGCATGTGGTTCCAGTGGAGTGAACAGAGGGATTACATTGATGGCACATGGAACTGTGGCTATTTCCTGGCCTCCATCTTTGTGTTCATAAATCTCTTCGGACAGCTGAGTAAGTGGCTCTAAGGCTGTTAAGGTGGATGCCAGAGCACTCCAGTGTGTCTGCCACCCTGGCTCATGTAAGCACTGTGAATCATGTAAGCATGGGACGCCTCACTGATTTCTTAATAGCCACTGACAGCTTAGACCTGATAATACTACATGGGCTGAATGAAAAGAACTCTTAATTGACCTGCTTCAGCCTTTCCTGGAAGAAGTCTTAGAATTTATTGTGACACGCTATCTCTGAGTCAGAGATGCCAAGAATCCATTAGGACAATCTGTTTTCAATTCTGTACGCGGATCTATAAACACATACCACGCACCCTGAATTCTCTAAACGAAATACTCATATTTTCTTAAACAGGGCAGTGTTAAGACTCTCAGCCTGCCAGTTTTATGGGTATTAATCTCAATGGCAAAGTCTTATCCTGCAGTTGGTACACTTAAGCCTGAGAGAGGTGCTTCTGTCAGGCTTTCAAAGCCCAGGAATCAAAATAATCCCAGCAGCAGAGCTTCTCTGTGTGCTAGGTGGACTTAGGGTATCAGAAATGGAGAGAAGTAAAATTCTTTTGTTATGTTCTTGATTGCTCTGCCAATTTCTTGCCTTGTGTCTGGGTTTTTTTACCCTCATATTTTTGTGTAGAGAGTCAGCTTAATTTAATGTAGGTACCAGTCAAAGTGGCAAAGGCTGTCAGTGCTTGAAGAAGGATATAAAACAAAAAGCTTTCAAGGCAAAGTAGTGCAGCATGTTTGCCCGAACAGTTATCTCATTTAAAAAAAAAAAATCCATTATGAGTTGAGGGTTTTTTTTAACTTCTTTTAATGCTTTAACACTGATAGCTGCTGTACAGTGCTGTGTGTTGGGGACTGTGTTCAGCATGTGCTTACCCTTTGTAAAATAAGATACTTCTGGAATTATAAAATATTTTAAAATGCACTAAAACTTCTTGGTTCTCAAACTGATTTGTGCTGGTGTGCCATTAAAATTTCCTGCCTGATGTTCTCCATGGCACAGTTGAAAGAAATTGGAGTCTGCTCAGTTCAAAACAAGCTACCATTCCTGCAGCATCTTTTCCTGTGCAAGGTAGAAGTGTAACTGTGTTCAATTTCCCCAACTCAGGCGGCTGTATCCTGGTGCTGAGTAGGAACTTTGTGCAATATGCCTGCTTTGGACTGTTTGGAATTATAGCATTACAGGTAGGAGGCTTAAGTCTTCAGCCTTTCTAAACCGTATCTTTCAAATCTTCTCTTAGCCCCAGTACTACCAATATCTATAAATACAACTCGCAACCCTGGAATTTTTCTCCACCCTGGCCTAGCGCCAGTCCTCAATGGCATTGAACTGTTTTGCTGCTTCTGTTCTTCTGATGCCCCCCATAATCCTTGCCTGTAATTGCAATTAGTCAGCTGGAGATGTTGCTTCAATACTTGACCAATTTAGCAGAAGTAACTTGCCGTTTACCTGTATGTCAGTAACGTACCAAATGTGGAACTTGCAGTTGCTTTGGCCTTCAGCACACAGCTCTTAAAAAGGACTGTCCCATCACAAAGGATCCTAGCTAGTAGCATCCTTCCTATTCAAAACCAGTGAATCTTTGTGGGGGCTAAAGCACAAGTCAAATTCTGGCTTCTGTTCCCTGTTTTACACTGACTCATCGGACCACATTGATGTAACCTACCTTGTTTCCTTCAGTATAATATACTTCTAATTGACTCCTGCTGTGGATAGTACAGGCTTAAGATTATAACGTGAATTCAGAACATCAGTGTAATTTATATGGTGTTTTAACCTGTTTGCTTCTTTGCCTAGACTATTGCATACAGCATTCTCTGGGACCTGAAGTTCTTGATGAGGTATGTCTACCTCTTAAAGCTTTTATCAAAACAGAATGAAAACTGTTGTCTGTCACTGCCACTTTCTGTCAGAGATGATCTTTGTACATAGTATTGACTAGAAAGATTTTATAACTGATGCATTTACATTAAACAAGAAATGACAGCACTTAAAAAAATACCTGTGCAGTCTGTGTTAAACCATAGACAGCAGGCTCAGTGCTGTAGAAAGACTAATCCTAACCCGCTAGGATCTAAGTGTTTCTGCTGTGAACCTGCTTGCTGCGAGCTCACAAACAGCTGTCTAGACTGGATCAGTGAGCTGCTGTTATTTCCTAAATGGGTAAAATGGCAACTGTTATGCATGACTGAAGCCATTTTCCAAGAAAACTAAAGAATGTAGATATTAGAGTGGTTTCTGGGATTTTGAATCTCTTAACACATTCACTAAGTAGAAGACAGGGTTCTTAAACGTGAGCTTTCTTGTCAAATCCTGAGTGATGGCTGTCTTACCTTTTCACCCCTTTCCTCTGAGGGCAGGGCAGGGGGCAGCAGGAGAACTATACTCTGGGCTTACTACAACCCTGTAAATGTGTAACTTCTTCTAGCAGCACTGCTGTTCTGTTTTCTCAAAGCAACCTCTGAACTACTTTAGCATATGTGGCTAAACCTGAGGTACCAAATAACTTCAACACAACTAAATTCACGTTGTAACAGATGCTAAGCAACTGTACCTGAGCTGTGGGTGCTGGACTTCTCTGGCAGGCTGTACGTGGCTACACGGGCTTGTGTAAATCGTTGTTGTGTACAGTGCTGCTGTTTCAGCTGTGAAGTCTAATGCAGACACGCATCGCAAGGTGCAGAGTAGGTCACTCCTCACGAGCATGCAGATTCTTACTGAGTTGAAACTGTCAGCTTGCACTGATGCATAGGTTTAATAAACTGCTTTTTTTCCCCATTTCTGTCTTTCTGTAGGAACCTTGCCCTTGGGGGAGGCTTGCTGCTGCTTTTGGCGGAGTCGCGCTCAGAGGGGAAGAGCATGTTCGCTGGTGTCCCTACCATGCGGGAAAGCTCTCCCAAGCAGTACATGCAGCTGGGTGGCCGTGTGCTGCTGGTCCTCATGTTCATGACACTGCTACACTTTGATATGAACTTCTTTTCTGTAAGTATCTGAGCCTGAAAGTATGAGTCAAGGAACTAGAATGTAGTACCAACTTCCAGATTGGCTGCAGGACCTACTCAAGGCTTATCATTTAAGTCTATCTTTTAGTAGAATTAATATTTAGAGAAGTTATTAAATCATCTATGCCGTGACAATTTGGCCTGCTGAAATTATGCTTTCTCTGTTCTGATGTTTCTGTATCAATTTTAAGACCCATATGTAAGCTTGTGGGTGTTTTTCCTTGCAGATTCTGCAGAACATTGTGGGCACAGCCCTGATTATCTTGGTGGCAATTGGCTTCAAGACTAAGCTGGCTGCCTTGACTCTAGTCATCTGGCTGTTTGGCATCAACATCTACTTCAATGCCTTCTGGACCGTCCCAGCCTACAAGCCCATGCACGACTTCCTCAAATACGATTTCTTCCAGACCATGTCTGTAATTGGAGGGCTCCTCCTCGTGGTTGCACTGGGCCCTGGTGGAGTCTCCATGGATGAGAAGAAAAAAGAGTGGTAACAGGAATAGCAACACTTCTTGGGACATAAAAGATATTAAGTCCAGAACTGATTCTCTATGGATTCAACAAAAACTGCCAGCATTTTACACGTACATGCCCCCTTCCTATTAAAGGCACAGATGTTTTGAATTTGATTTACAGTGGCACCAGTAATATAATAGATGAGATCCTATTTCTTCAAGGAATGTTGCCTAGGCTTATTCTAACTTCCTAGATTTGGAACTAACCCAAGGAACCTGCATTTTGCTGATGCTTCAGTGAGTTGCAGTACAACAGTTGCTGTCTTTAATGTCAGCAGTGTTTTAAAATTTGAAGTACTGTGAGCGGATACAGCTGTATCATTCAGTGTGCTGTTGGGGTCTGGCTATAACTAAAAAAGTGGATCCCCTTTCTTGCCCTCATCAAAACTCTTGTGCATAAGGAGTTCCATTGCTGGTTATAGCATTGCTTATCAAGGTGGAAAGCAGCATAAAAAAAAAATTCACTGTTATTTTGCTGCTCAGAGGCCTGTAATTCCATTTTGTTTAACAAGAGGGGAGGTCTTTCCTGCCCCCAAATAGAAGGCAAAAAGAAAACCCTGAACGTAGCTATACCCCCCTCTAGGTAAGAAGAGTGAGAGGGTTTTGTAACATGTCCCGCTTCTGCTCTTGAGGGGAACAAGGGAGAAGCCTGTATTGCTAATCAGGAATCCTGTATGGCTAATCAGATTTCAAGAAGGAAGGGGGGGGAAGATTCTCCTGAAGAGACAGAATGTTAGATTCTGTTTAAAATTCTGTGCCAAAAGAACTCTATTCAGCATTCTTTCCCCAAAGTTGCCCCTCCTGAATTCCCAAGAAGGGAATCAAGTTGTGCTGCAGGTTCCATAATAAAAGCTCCTTTCTGCTATTAACCAGCTGCCATCCATATATACCCCAAATTCATGTCTGAATTGCAGGTTATTGGTGAAGATGTCTTCAGAATTACAGAAACTCCCCTTTTGCCTGCACTCAGTACATGCAAGATGAGAGCAGTCAATCTTCTAATCTGTAGTCTTTGCTTCTTAGATTCACTTCTGTCAGTCTCCCAGCTGTACAAGTCCCAGTTGGCCACGCAGTGGAGGAGCTGGGGTGCTGAGCTCTCGAGTGCAGCCCCTTCTCTCTGCCATCTCGGACCATACCTGAGATGTGGAGGGAGGAAACGTGGAAGTCAGCTGCGTGCTGCCATAGCCCCGGTTCTCAACTCTGTATGCAAACGGTTATAGCTGAAGAATGCAAGTGCAAAGCCTGTGCAGTGAATAAGGAGCCAGGGATGTGACTTGCCTGTTCAGAGAGGAACTCCTCAGCATCACGGCGAGGAGAGAGGAAGGCCCCGTATTCACCTCAGTGCCACAACCTCTGTGCCATGAACATGCTTAGCGCTGCTCAGAGGAGGCCTTTTGTCCTCTGCTAGTCAGCTAGGTGAACCTGTTTCATTAGATCATGAAAGAATTCTAGAAAGCATGAGCCCTGCCAGCTTGCTGAGGTTACACTGATTCCTTGCACTGTTGTCTCCCTTGAGAAAGCTGCTCAGCTGTTTGTTCAAGGAGTGATTCAGCTGAACACCTCCAGCAGGAGCTGTTGACCAGGGTCTCCTGGTAAGGACACTAACCTGGACGGTTCAGTTTAACGGTTGCATTTTAGGAGAGAAAACTAGGCTGAAAAAAAACTGATGACGAATAGAAGAGCACTGTTGAATGCTAGACCAGTGATTTCATCTCAAGGGGAAAATAGCCTATGTAGTAGCAAGATGTGCTGCTGCCGAAGGGAACGCATTGGTATGTGGGGGTAGATGGGAGGGGAAGCCAGCATTTAAGTTCAGGTTACACAGGCGGCTTTCTTTTTAAATAGGTTGTGCAAGGGAAGTTTTCACCTCAAGTGTTCACTGTGCCTGTCTCTTCATAGCAAAATGAACTGGTCCTTCCAGTACGGATATGCAGCATGGGATGCTTTTGCTTGGTTTCACTGCAGGTCCTAGAATGGTTTTAGACTGCATCAAGGCAGCCATTCTCCGATATCTTAACTGCTGTTGATGTTCATAGTATTTATAAATGGAATGATAGAAACAACTCCTCTAAGTAGCCCTTAAGTTGGCTTTCTCAGCTTTTGTGTCCTGTCTAGGAGGACGGACTAGTCTGAAATACTGACCAGTTTCCTCTGTGAAAATCAAGTCCCCTTTCTGACCAAAGGCCCCAGAAAAGGAACTGGTACTGTCCCTTGCAGCAGAACCATTTCAGTACTAAAGGGGCAGAGTTAGGTGGAGGGCATTATAAGATATTTCTAGGCAGCGCAATATGCAGACTTACTAACTGTGAGTCCCGATGCGGAAGATTCTGGTTTCCTACATACACTGCTGTATTCATGCATCTCCCAAAAATAGGGTGACCTCTCCCCGTGGCTGAGAAGCTCTCACAAGCAGGATGTCAGCTATCAATTGGCTCTGCAAAGTGTTCTGGAATTCATTCTGAATATATTTTTGCTTTCTATGTGGAAAAAGAAATAAGTATAAATTCTCATTTTATGCTGTATTTTGTACCTTAGTTGTGTTTGAAAATGTTTTGATTTTTGGAAACAATCAAAATAAAACAATGGCATCTTTGTATCCACCTGGTGTGTGTGACTGGTGCCACTCTGCAGATGGGCTGCCTGGAAATGCTGGCTAGTGGCCCTGTGAGCTTTCTCTCCCACCTACTGAAAATCACTTTCCCATACAGAGGTCCGAGCTCCGGGCCGCCTGTACTTGGCTGCAGCAGTCATCCTTCCCGTGGTGGGGGTGGCTTGAGGCTGTTAGAGTACAACTTCATTCCACCCCACTGTTCCTCTCCCCAGCTGTAATGGTTAACTGGAATGGGCAAACACTCCAGGCAGTCTTGTGCACCCTCTGGAATTGTTACACAGCAGGCTTCAGGCCATGTATTTATCATAAAATTTATTTGCCGTTGGTTGCTTTCTTGAAGTTCTTGGGTTTTCGATGATGACTCTTGAATTTCTTCTTTAAAGGGCCCGACTGTTTCTGTAGAGAAAAAAAGTTAATCAGCTTATTTCCAAATCCCAAATCCAGCCCTGCCCAAGACAGCTTAAAGAGAAACCGAGTGTGGTTTCTCTCCTTTACCAGCAGAGACAGAACAGGCGCAGCCCTGGTCGCAGAGCCAGCCAGGTGTCTCCTTGCCCTGCCCTGCAAGTTCACGTTCCTTTCTCTGACGGGCACGTGGTTTCATGAGCTACAAACAGCAATGGTCTCCCTGTAGAAATGAGCCTGAACTTCATCCAGCCGTAACTTTCCAGTTTGATACAGTTATAAAGCATCCAGCCCCTCCCTCAGGGGCTGCCTTAGAGCGTTAAAGATTTATCTGTCTTTACGTACATAACATTTGCCTGCTTCCCAAACTGAGAAGCATCAGGGATGTCCTGCAAGGCAGGTCCTGGCCAGCTCCTCAACAGAGGCAGAAAAAGGGTCTAGAAGGACCCTGTGACTTCAAAAGGGTTTAATTAGCGTTCGTGTGTTTATGGGGAGGAAGACTACAGAACCCACAAGACGCTCTCCAGTCTCCCTGTTAAAGAGAGCGTGCAGCAGGATCCCATCAAAGGCGAGCTATTTATACAGGCAGGAACATCCCTAGTTAGAGCAGACAGGATAAACATTCACTGGTACTAATTCACACCTCGGGATGCGAGGCAGTGGCTGGCGCACGGGGAAAGCCCACTCTGAACAGCTTTGCACCTTCTGCTGGCTCTCAGACAGGAATAGATCAGACAAACACCTACGGGATGGGATCTCGGTTCTCCGCGGCAGCGTGACTCCCACCTTTCCCCTTTTGTTGCCAACTGCTCTGCTGACATCCATTCTTCCGCCGTCCTCTCCATTCGCGTCACCGTTCTGCTTGGCCCCCTCGTCCTCGCTGTCTGTTGCAAAGTCATCGCTGCCCTTTGTGGTTTGTGGAGCTGCGGGGCTTTTTTCTGGGAAGAGTGCGGCTAAAATACAAAGATTTAGCTCGGGATCAGTTCCCTGTGCAGACAGGCTCTGCCTTCCCCTAACTTTACTTTGAGGGCACCTTAAAGGTGATTTGCCAAGCTGCTCCCAGTCTCCGAGCAGATACGTGTCACTACTGAAATACCTGGGAAATAAACACATTTTTTATGTGTTTTATGAGGACCGTGCCTCTCGCCAGCCCCGTTCTGGGAACTGCTCAGCCCAGGCAGTTCTGTGTCCGCTCTCCTCCAGCGAGGCAGCGTCTCCAGATGAAGTCAGCAGGACGGCCTGACCAGCTCCCATCAGACGGGAGCACTTGCTGCAGAGAAACCTGCAGCAGCAGCAAATCCCAGTGGATCTTGTATTCCTCCCCTCACACCTTATGTGATCCAGCCCTGGTTATTACCTAGAGATAACTGCTATTTCTTATTTGGCAGTGGCAAGCTTTTCTGAAACCCAAGAACCCCCAACTGGATGGAAGTCATGTGCCGCTGGCACACAAGCAGCCAGGAGAAAGTGAGCCGACAAACTCCCTTCAGGACACAAGACGATACCAACGTTCTCACTCACGTGGGTACAGGTCACTCATGCTGTCGTCCGTCTCCTCTCCGTCCTCATCGCTGGACTTTGGCTCCCAGAATTCCTCTTTTCTGTAAGGCTGCCTGCTCCCGTTCGTTTGGTCGTCAGGGTGCTGCGTCCGCTGCTTCTTCTGTCGCAAGCAGGCAGGGACATACTCCACTCCTTCCTTCTGGCACTCCTCATCTACAGCGCGAGGGGCCGGGCAGCACTTAGCAAGGCTGCCCAGTCACCTTACTGCTTTTCATTTCCAACTCTAGCTTATATTAAATGCAACTCAAAAGCATGTCAAGCTCCAACTCTAATATACATTCATGTAATCTACAGCGATGCTATGGACCATGAAAGGTGGGAAAGGCGTTAATGCAGAGACTGTGCTGGGCGTGTGAACCACCCTCTCTGGGGGAGTTTTAGAACCGCTCCTCTCAAGTAAGGACGTTCCAAGGTATTTGCTAGAGGCCTATTGCTCCCTACGTCTGGCATCTTCCTTCCCAGCTGAGGAGCACACACAGCAACAGCAGTACATTACTGTCAGCCTAAAGAAAATGTATCCCCTTCTTTCATGTAGAGCTACTGGAATCTAAGCAGCTCAGGGAAAAAAAGTTGGCTGGTTGTACCTTCAGAAAAGCCACTTACATGTTTTTAGGGCCTTCCGATAGCGCTTCCCTTGGACATGACGCAGCACGTGCTCTGGCAACTTGTTGATGTGTCTGAGAGTGAGCTTGCAAAACAGCTGGTGGCTGACAGACACAGAAAGAAAGAAAGAGACAGCGACAGAGTTTAAGTGTGCTACTACTCAATAACTTCTCACTTATAAGCACTGTGCTCAAAGTTGATAAATACTTTATAAAGACTTCCCCAGTCTCCCAAAACCCATAAAGACTCAAGAACTTTGTAAAGGTTGACCACATTATGTCTGAATTTGAACAAAGTGTGAAGCATAACACACAAGAGGAAGAATACGTACAGATTCTTTGTGCTGGGCACTATATGGGGCTCAAACTTGCCATAGTCGAACTCTCTGGCTGTCTTTATCAGCCGCTGATACTTCTTGCCATTAGTATAAGCCTGCAGCTCTGACAGCCGACATGGCATCTCGTGGCCTGTCAGCCTGCATCTCACCTGAAGAAAAACGATGTCTGGTCAGGGAGGCCCAGGGGATCGCCCCAGGGCTGGCGAGGGCAGGAGAGACCCCAGGCTCCCACCAGCGTCCTCCTCCCCGGCCCTCCTCCGACTTCCACGGCGGGAGAGAAGCCTCCGGGCCAGGGAGCTCCCCGGGGCTGAGCCCAACTGCGGGTACCTTCCCGGCCTGCTGCCAGCCGGCCTTGTCCCCCCTCGGGGGACGCGGCCCCGGCCTCCCCTCACGACCCCCTCAGGGAGGCGCTCCCAGCCCCCCTCATGGCCGCGCTCCGGGGGCCCCCGGCCCTCCTCCGACTTCCACGGCGGGAGAGAAGCCTCCGGGCCAGGGAGCTCCCCGGGGCTGAGCCCAACTGCGGGTACCTTCCCGGCCTGCTGCCAGCCGGCCTTGTCCCCCCTCGGGGGACGCGGCCCCGGCCTCCCCTCACGACCCCCTCAGGGAGGCGCTCCCAGCCCCCCTCATGGCCGCGCTCCGGGGGCGGCCCCGGCCCTCGAGGCGCCCCCCCACCCCCACACGGCCCGGCTCCGGCTCC